TCGGCCACTGCCCTACAAAGCTTAAGGTTAAATAACTCTAGTTTAGGCCTATTATCCTCTACATGTACCAGGGTCAAAGATGGTTTTTCACTAGATATTCACAGATATAGGCCTTCACTGTACGGGTGCATGTATACAGTACATCTGTAGCACAGCTGGTGCGGGGGTGGGGGGTGGGGAAGGGGGGGATTATATAGGTGCAGGGACCTACACCGGCTCGAGGAAAAAAAGACATGACCCCAGTCTTACATTTCATTATATTCAACATTTTTAGTTAAACCATATAGTCATAAAGTTTCTTAAACGTTTCCTCCTTGAAGCCTTTCAAAGGCAATCCTCTCTGAAAATACATTGGTTGTGTTAGTTGTACTACAGGCCACAACCTAAACACAATCAATCAATCAAGACTATCAAAGCAAGCTTTTAGAAATGTTCAAATGTTTACACACCGTGAAAAATTGAAGGCATTTGTCTTTTCCTGTTCAGGCCTAGAAAAAGATTAAACTTTTCAAATAAAAATACTTAATTGATGTCAATATAGCCGCTTGAAATACCGGAAATCTGGACAGTCACTTAGATCAAAGTTATTTGATAAGGAATGGTATGAAACATTATATCCAGCGACAGGTCTAGCAAAGATTCTTGATGTAAAGGAAAATTTCACTTTTTTCAGAGGAAAATTCGATTTGACGGGAAAATCTGACATAAATTTAACAAAGGGAAAACGTGAATAAATTTAACAAGGCTCAGGTTTGGATCTCGTGATTTAGAGAGGGATGCACAGAAAACCAACCTCAGTACCCCCCCCCCCCCTTACGAGAGATGGGTAATTTGTGTAAAATGGAGCTGAGGACACAGGCCCGGCCGTAGCCAGAGATTTCAAGGGGGGTCCTTTTTATCTGTATATATTTATATTAGAAAATGTTGAAACCTTCATGTGCCTAGATCAAATTTGCCCAGAGTGGACCTGTTCCTGGCAAAAAGATTGTAACGCTCCACCCCCCGGGGCCCTCTCCAACTCCCCCCATGCCCCTGGCTACGGAGCTGGGACGAACCACCCCAAAGTCCAGGCGCCATGAGGGATATTGAGGTGACAGGAATGGTAGTCCTAGGAATAGATAACCCTCTACCAGGGTGGAAGGTTATATAGGGAAAAAGCAAAAATCCACACAGTCAAATGACTGTCTATTTACCTAGAGACATATCTGTGAATATCTGTGAAAAATCAATCTGTCGCCCTGGTAGAGGGTAGTGATGGATATCCAGGATCCCATTTGGCTAGTACAGGTAAGGGTTAGTTGGAGTATTGGGGTTATAGTACATGAATGTTACCTGTGCAAAGTAATGGGACACAGATTACGGTTTCTAGCTGACTACCATTTCTGTCACAAAGGTTAAGTCTGTCACAAATACAGTATAGAGGCACTCGCCAAATATGTAACAGCGTGTTAAAGCGATCCTCTGTTTGCCACCAAGTCACCTATGCAAATGAAATGTATACAATATCTAATCATGAGCCAGTATATGGGTATTCTATCTAGGACACCTTTCAAAAGTACGTATCTGCATTATGTTTTTAAATTATATATTAGCATGTTTCTGTAACTGTAACATATGTTTGTTATGTCATAGCCTCTCTGTAAAATCGTGCTAGAGCAAATAAATATAATTATCAAAAATACAATGAAACTAATTCTGGGATTGTCGATAATCACATGAATTACGACCATGTTGGAAATAGTGAAAAGTCCACATCTGTTCAAACAGAACAGTTGCGTAGGATTCTAATGGCGACCTCTCTCTCTCTCTTTCTCTCTCTCTCTCTCTCTCTCTCTCAAGATGTCACTAAAATGGTAAGAAAATCCAAAGAACAATAGAATGAAGGGAAGTAAAGATGGCATTCATTTGGTGGAGTCGTATTTTTGCCAAGGGATGCGGTGGTGGATTCACTTGATTTTGCATTAGGTCTCCGTCTTTTTTTTTTTTTTTTTTTTTTTTTGTAATAAATTTTTATAAAAAGACAAGATTGATACTGGATGTGGTCATAAGTTGTAAGCCAAAAAGATGTTCAAGGTCGGTTTTTGTTGACCTGTAGGTGTAAAATAAAAAATACATTTAGTAAATACAAATAAAAGGTGATGTTGCACTTCAAAGCCAATACCGCCATCAAAAATTGATACCACATGTTTTGAATAGATTATGCGTATTTACTGAGAGACATGGTAAGCGATGGTAAGCGGGCATTTGTTTAGCGAGATTCAGTTAATTAGCACGTGGTTGAAAATGAAGCTGACAGGCGTCGGTTTGACTTCTAGTCGTGCCACGTTTTGGGCTCTATTCTGTTTGTTGACGGTGTACGTCCTATTTGTGTGGCACGTGCTGATAGGCGAACTCCCGGTTGTCATGCAAAGGTGAGTTGAATGTGAAAAAAACAAAACGATAACGGTTTTGTGTCAACTTTTTATCTAGGTTAAATCCTTTACGTTCTGATCGCAACATTGAGAATGTGTACATTTGGATAATTAAATAAGTTTCTCTCTCTCTCTCTCTCTCTCTCTCTCTCTCTCTCTCTCACACACACACACACACACTGCAAGTAAACAGATTTCGGTGGACTTTTCCTCTTTTGTTCAGAAACGTTAACTTGGCATTTTTCGGCATTGGCTAAATGACACAAATTTCAAATATTGACCAACGATATTGTACATTATGATTTCTAAAAACAGCTGATTTCATTAACATTACAGATTTCAGAAGGTGGATAATGGAGCTCTGGCCGCCAAACGAACATTGTATAAAAAGTCTGGCATACTGGAGATTTGGAAAACATCGTCCACAGAAGAAATGTGCAGGCCAAAGAAACACGTCCTTTTCGTCAAAGTTCCCAAATGTGGCAGCTCCACTCTTTCTAGCATCTTCTTGAGGTACGGCTTTCGATACAGCCTGGATGTGGCGCTTCCTTTGAACAATGAATTCAATTTGAATTCCCTTTTGAACAGCCTTAACAGCAGCGCTGAAAAACGTGATATATTTGCCAGCCACGTGACATATGATGTCATCAAACAGCATAAGCATCTCATACCAAAAAATGCTTTATATATAACAATTATCAGAGAACCACTTGGCGCTTTCAAGTCCTTTTTTAACTTCCGTCATAAGGGATCCGATTTTGGCATCGAAGGTGAAGATCAAATTAGGAATTTTTTTGCAAACTCAACTCTGTATTCCTCGCCCGCATCTAGCAAATTTTGGAACCGGATGGTACGTTACCTTGGTTACAAACCACCGCCTAGCAACAGTAGCCAAGAAGCCGAGAAGGCGGCGCTGCAATATGTGCGCCTTCTGGATCGAGAATTCGACTTTGTCGTCATTCTAGAATATTTTGAGGAAAGCCTGATACTGCTGAGGCGAATGTTGTGTTGGGCAACACATGATATGCTTTACACCCAACAAAAACCCGGATCTTCGTTTTCAGAGTACTATAAGTCGTCCCACACTGCTAATCCGGTAGTGGTCCAGAAACACAGAGAACTCAGTTATGCCGACTATATCTTATATGACTACTTCAAGCTCAAGACTGAAAAATTGATTGAAAGCCAGGATGACGACTTTTTTAACGAAGTCCGCAATTTTAAAACAGTTAATGGAAAAGTGACACGGTTTTGTCAGAACAAGACTGCTAGAAATCGAGACGAAACTTTGAAAATGGCGCCAACACGGTGGAGCAGCGGCTTTACCCTGAGAAGGGAATATTGCCACCTGCTGGCCATAGATGCTAACAGATATTCTATACTCTTGAAAAAAGGAAAATTTCTAGAATTTAGACTTTAGGGAAAACCCAGGGGGCAGTGGTAACGTGTGGGCAAAATTCACTAACCACACCAAGTCATTTTATACATCTTATCAGGCAAGGGGGTCTTTGAAGAGTCCGTTTTCTACTTTCTCTCACTCTCTCCTTTACCACACCATCATATGAGAGGAGGTCAGTAGTTTCATGGTGGGTGTATGTTTTGACTTCCATGATTTTGGGCACAAATTATTGATGGACATTTGGTACTATATGTGTTTTTTTTTAAAATAAAGTAACTGATTTTGTATTCGTGATTTATAAAACGATTTACTGGTATTTTCCATTAACGTCAGAATTGGTTGTGCAAGTGCATTGGTCACTAAGTCAGCAATAATTACCAGATCATTGATAAAGCACGACACGGATTTGCAAATTCACAAGTCGGAAAATTAACAGTTCCACATTTATAAATTTCTTAACCAACACCAAGTTTCTAGTTGTGCCATATGTAAGTGCCTGTTCAGCCCAGGTTGCCTAGGCAACCCAATTACGCGTTTCGCAGTACCGATCTTCTTCGTTTCGGGCGCAGGTGTACATCGCGACCCTGTAGCGTACTGCTCATTAGAGAAGAGCGCGTAAGCAGCAGTAACACTAATAATAGGTTGATATCCCCCTCCTCTTTCATTAACCCCTGAAGTCAAAATCCGCAGAAAATGGCTGCAAATTACTAAATATCAGAAACTATCATTTTATTCATTTTAGGGCTATGAAAATGTCGTTCTCCATTAATAACTCAAATGACAAGATGGAAATGGCTGCGTCATTACCTTACTGTCTCTCGTTCAAACAGTAAATCAATATACCTGAGTAAATACAAAAACAACTCAAACAGATTCATGAAAATTGTTTCTTGCTAATTACACCTTAGCACAGGGGATATAATTGGTTATTGATGATTGCATTTTTTTACGATTAAAAGGCGAACTCAACTGTTTTCCGAGGCATGAGGGGGCTTATTAAGTGGCAACCTAGAAGGACCTCTCAGAAGACACCCCTACCTTTACTAAAGTGCCACTTTTTTGTAGCACGAGCGTGTGTGAGCTAACGGCAGGCTATTACATCAACATCAGTACAGTCACATTGACACTGATGTACTGAACTGAGATATGAGATGTACTGAGATAATAAATTTAATGCTGTACTAATCACGACATTTGGCGATAAACGCCGAATTTGTTGAAATATTCAGTGAGTCACAATCAAATATTTATAAATCAAGGTAAAAGTTTTGCATAACGGCTGCATCATGGACGCTAAACACCCGCGTAATTTTCGAAGCTGCCACAAGAAATGTTATTTTATGGTCCGCTTCAATGATAACAAGACATTTAACTGATATTAAAGTTAGATTCATACTTCATTTTCACGAAATGTTGACAGGTTTATTTCAGCTTCACTTCCTAAAGGTTTTTAGGCTGTGTTCAGAATAGAAGTTATCACACTGCATGTAGCAGGATTGGTCTATCTCAGCGGGGATTCTTGCTTAGGAGCAGTCAATTTAATCAGCTTAATCGTCTGCCCCCCCCCCCCCCCCCCTTTGCACAGCAACATGAACACGTCATGGAACACAAAGTTTTCCTGACTTCACCCAAGAACTTCAAGTTAACGAGGAGGCGTACCAGCTACAGACAGCTGATTGCATTTATCATCCTGTGCATGGCGATATCGGTGTATTCAGTTCAAAATTAGGGATTTTGGATGGGAAAAATGCACGATTTCTCTTGTGTGTATGTATGTATGTATGTATGACAAATATAATGCACTGCTACCCTCATCGATTGCAATCGTTCAATGGCATGCTAATGTAGGCCCTATATACCAGCGTAACGAAACTGAAGGTCCGTGCAAAAGTAAGTTCGACCTCTATTGAATTATAATGGTTAGGGTTAGCCTGACCTAAGCGGGTCAAAATCTAGGGCGAGGCTTACCTGTACAAATGAATGGGAAGCGGACACTCTATCATGGGGGAATTTCTGGTACATGACACCGGACTCGTGGGCAGAGCATACAATAATAAGTACAGGGCAATGCTATACGTACCCTTGGGATACATGTGTCTGTGTCCTGATCTCGAGTGACCGTAAGGAAACCAAAGCCTGGGTTCCCATTCCTAGATAGATCTAACAAAACGACCCATCTCAAAGGGGTTTCTCGCTAAATTGCTTTCAGCTTAAGCGGCTTAGATGTCTGACACGCCTACTGAAGCTGCTAAACGGTAATTAATTACCCACTAGCAGCTTCAGTAGGCGTGACAGACATCTAAGCCGCTTAAGTTGATTGAACTTTAGCGAGACTCCCCTTGGGGATAGATCGGTCCACAGTTAGTACGATAGGGTCTGGGAATGGGCCCTCATAAAAGATGTCAAGACTCACTCAGTCGTAAAGGGCTAGAAATTCTCAGACCGGTACCGTAGTTTACCCGTGAATGCAGAACGCAGAGGACCATACTGTGCTACTCTCTGACGACAGGGTGCGCTAGTAGTAGTAGTAGTCCGTTACAAAAATGTTCAAGAGCACAGTGTGATTTTGTATAGTATTATGTTGGTGCCCTGATATCAGACGCTGTGCTACCTAATAAAAGATGATATTTAATTTAAAATGGATTTTCGGCTTGCAGTATATATACCGTCCATGTTCTATGTAGAGATTGTGATCAATGCAAGCAAGATATAAACAGTCAGCTAAAAATACATAACTTAGGGTACTGGTAGACTGTACAGATCTAAAATATAAAACTTTTTTACCTGACCCTTATTTCTATTATAGAAAATGACCAGTAAATTATGATTCTCCCTGATCAGTACAACATCCACCCGCCCTTTATGAATTAGCTGGATGTCGATTCGCTTGACAATCGTCAAGTTTAAATAACTCGATTTTTTAAATCTTTATTTCGATTATATAACCGTATCGCAATGTAGACAAGGGTTAGCTCAGGCCTAGGAGAAAACAGACACAGTATTCTGCCATCGCAGTTCACTTTTAAGTTCGACTGACTCTGACATTGTGGTTGAAACGAAAGACATAAACCCTCTGATCTCAGGAGCCTCTAAAATGACCAACAAATCCCATACAACTACATGTATTTTGTAACAGACTACTAGCTAGCGCACCCTGTCGTCAGAGAGTAGATGTGAAAGGTGGTTCTTCTCGGGGCCCTATTACATAACATGGAGAACAAATGGATTTGCGCACTTCAATTGTGCTTGTTTACTGAATCGCCTGACATGTCACTGTCATGTAACAGGGGCTCGTGTCGGCCAGCGTGCACCTGGTACTGAGACAATGAAGTGACCTGCGTCCACACTGTGGGCTATGTCAGTAAGTAAGCCAGGAGTCAGTAAGCTAACAATATACGGTGCGTGTTGGGTTCCTGTAGTGAGATACGGTAAGTTTCGTGTTTCATATTGAGACACGGCATAAGTTTTCATATTCTGTATTGAGACACGGTAAGTTTCGATGTTTCGTAGTGAGATAAGTTTTGTGTTCCGTTGTGAGAGACGGTATTATAAGTTTTCGTGTTCCGTTGTCAGACATGGAAAAATGCAATAGAGAAGAGTAAGTCGATTCTATAAATTGAAGTAATCTTAATAATGGTGCCATTCAGAATAGAAGATCCGAGTATCAACTGATCCAAGGATCAAATATGGCGGACCCTACATGAAAAGAAGACCGTTTAATCCTGAAACGGTCTCTCCGCCTCTCACACGCCTCCCCAGGGGTACAGTAATTAAATCTCGGCTCCATTCGACCAGACGCGTGGGGATGCGTGTGAGAGGCGTATAACACCATCCCAGATAGCAATGAGCGGTNCCCCCCCCCTGCCCCCCCCCCCCTTTGCACAGCAACATGAACACGTCATGGAACACAAAGTTTTCCTGACTTCACCCAAGAACTTCAAGTTAACGAGGAGGCGTACCAGCTACAGACAGCTGATTGCATTTATCATCCTGTGCATGGCGATATCGGTGTATTCAGTTCAAAATTAGGGATTTTGGGTGGGAAAAATGCACGATTTCTCTTGTGTGCATGTATGTATGTATGACAAATAATACACTGCTACCCTCATCGATTGCAATAGTTCAATGGCATGCTAATGTATATACCAGCGTAACGAAACTGGAGGTCCATGCAACAGTAAGCTCAACCTCTACTGATTTATAATGGTTAGGGTTAGCCTGACCTAAGCGAGTCAAAATCTAGGGCGAGGCTTACCTGTACAAATGAATAGGAAGCGGACTCTCTGTCATGGGGGACTCTCTGTCATGGGGGACTTTCTGGTACATGACGCCGGACTCGTGGGCAGAGCATACTGTAATTAGTACAAGGCAATGCTATACCCTTGGGATACATGTATCTGTGTCCTGATCTCGAGCGACCCAAAAGGAATCAAAGCCTGAGTTCCCATTCCTAGATCGATCTAACAGGATCGATCCATCTCAAAGGGGTTTCTGGCTAAATTGCTTTCAGCTTAAGCGGCTTAGATGTCTGGCACGCCTACTGAAGCTGCTTAACGATAATTAATTACCCCCTAGCTGCTTCAGTAGGCGTGACAGACATCTTAGCCGCTTAAGTTGATTGAAATTTAGCGAGACTCCCCTTGAGGATAGATCGGTCAACAGTTAATTCCCGTGAATGCAGACCTCAGAGGATCACACTCTCTGTGTGATTTTGTATAGTATTATGTTGGTGCCCTGATTTCAGAGTACAGCTGTGCACCTTAACAAAAGATGGTATTTAACTTCAAAATGGATTTTCGGCTTGCAGTGTATGTACCTTCCATGTTCTATGTAGAGTTTGTGATCAATGCAAGCAAGATGTAAACAGTCAGCTAAAAAGACCTGTACAGATCTAAAATATAACACTTATAACCTGACCTTTATTTAATAGTTTTTATAGAAAATCACCAGTAAATTATATGATTCTCCCTGATCAGTACAACATTCACCTGCCCTTTATGAATTAGCTGGATGTCGATTCGCTTGACAATCGTCAAGTTTAAACAACTCGATTTTAAAAATTTTTATTTCGATTATATATAACCGTATCGCAACGTAGACAAGGGTTAGCTCAGGCCTAGGAGAAAACAGACACAGTATTCTGCCATCGCAGTTCACTTTTAAGTTCAACTGACTCTGACATTGTGATTGAAACGAAAGACATAAACCCTCTGATGTCAGGAGCCTCTAAAATGACCAACAAATCCCATACAACTACATGTATTTTGTAACAGACTACAAGTGCACCCTGTCGTCAGAGAGTAGATGTGTAAGGTGGTTCTTCTCGGGGCCCTATTACATAACATGGGGAACAAATGGATTTGCGCACTTCAATTGTGCTTGTTTACTGAATCGCCTGACATGTCACTGTCATGTAACAGGGGCTCGTGTCGGCCAGCGTGCACCTGGTACTGAGACAATGAAGTGACCTGCGTCCACACTGTGGGCTATGTCAGTAAGTAAGGAGTCAGTAAGCTAACAAGATACGGTGCGTGTTGGGTTCCTGTAGTGAGACAAGGTAAGTTTCGTGTTTCATATTGAGACACGGTATAAATTTTCATATTTTGTATTGAGACACGGTAATTGAGTTTCGATGATTCGTTGTGAGATAAGTTTTGTGTTCCGTAGTGAGAGACGGTATTATAAGTTTTCGTGTTCCGTTGTCAGACATGGAAAAATGCAATAGAGAAGAGTAAGTCGATTCTATAAAAATTGAAGTAATCTTAAGAATGGTGCCATTCAGAATAGAAGATCCGAGTATCAACTGATCCAAGGATCAAATATGGCGGACCCTACATGAAAAGAAGACCGTTTAATCATGAAACGGTTTCTCCGCCTCTCTCACGCCTCCCCACGCATCGTCCCTGCAGGGGCACAGTAATTAAATCTCGGCTCCATTCGACCAGACGCGTGGGGATGCGTGTGAGAGGCGTATAACACCATATATTCTACGAGCTCATCCTTTAGATGGAAGATAACTAATTAAGCCATTACCACCCTTCAAATTTGCTTGACAGAATTTAAATTGTATCCTGTACATTTCAACGACAGAAATATAAGTGTTAATTACCTCGCTTACATTTTGCTCAGATGTCTAATAACGAAGGTAAAACTGCAATCTTTCATGCAAAACTTGTCCAATGCTGATTTCGTCCGCTTCCCAATATTAAAATTGAATGTATAGCCATATTGCAGTATATGGATGGTTTTGTGAAAAGAGAAAAATGAATGAATTTTCTAGCTTCCGATATATTCCAGACGTTTTATTAACCAAATATGTAGGTCAGACAGTACATTGTGCTGTTATATAACACCATATTACAAACATAAGGATAGGATATGTACGGAAAGGGCCAGTGAGTGGAAAATAGTCGAGAAGAAAACACCGAAAACAAAAAAATTTTATCTTGAGTCCCGTCAGTGATTTGCATAATTCTATAACTTGAACCAGTATATATTGTTTATCTTCTATACAAATTAAATTCCCCTTCAAATTGGAACAAAATCAAAAGTAATAAAAAAGTTAATCCTACACGCTCATTGTATCTTTGTAGTACACTAAGCCGTAAATGAATAAGAGTAAAAATTAGCTAGAATGGCTAGTGAGAATTGGAGTTTTTAGTTAGGGTTTCTCTAGGTAAGATTAAGAGTGCATTCCCATAGATTTAGATCGATCCAGAGATTAAGATTTAGATCGACCTAACTCCCTGGGGGTTCACGCTAAATTGCAGTCAGCCGTGCGCGCACAATAGTTAATTACCCCTTACAGCTTTTAGTAGGCGGGACAGACGCTTAAGCCGGCTAAGCTGACAGTAATCTAGTGAGACTCTCCACAGGGATAGATCGATCTAAAATCTATGGGAATGGGGTCGTAGTCTTAGTGAGTTATTAGGGCAAACCGAACTGTTTTTTTTTTTTTTTTTTTTTTTTTGCCAGTAGTTGACCATTGAAGGTTTTCCCTGCTACATTTTATTTAGGGCACTCTCTGCTTATTGGTCCTTTTTTTTTTTTTTTTTTTTGCAATTTAGGCAGATGCAGACCCATGCCACAATAAAACGACGCCTTAACAGACACGATATTCGTGAACTTACGTGCTCGGTGTTTAAAATTACCTTTAACTGTTAAAACTGTTGGTTCAACCTGCTGATTAAGAATATTGTATTGTAACATGGGGGAGAGTGGAAAAAACATCACAGAAAAAACGAGCGTTTTAGGCCGACGGTCTCTAAATTCCATCGCATGAGTTTCGGCAAGAACCGATTACATTGAGGCCTGTGTAAACTGGCCTCGGTACGCAAAAATATCACTGACTATGCCCACTTATGTCGTGTATCGCCGGTTCAGCAAAACAAACCAGAGCCAGTGTAAGATTACCATAACATTTCCTTATCCTATCTTTTCCACAGTAAGACTTCCTTTCTACGAACTCCGCATTTCATTGTTTATATTGAGCCTTAACATTCGCCAGGGTTGGGCTAGCGACAGATGTTTGGTTACGCTCCCGTGCTACCGAGGTTCAGCTGATATGTCAAGAATGTAGCAGAATGATACATAAAAACAAAGCATCGAGTAATAAGATTCAGAGATGAGATGCCTATAACTGCTTTGATTTTCAGATACACCGTGTCTGATATGTAGGTAAAGCCATAAATTCTCGTCAGAGTCGCCGTCCATCGAGCGACGCAGATTTACACAGAAAGAACGCGAAGGGCTTTAAGGACTTTACCCAAGTTGTAATACATGTATGTGAGCAATGTTGAGGTTACAATTAAACTTTGGCTACATCCGTCTATACTCTCATAGCACGCCTGCCGTTATGTGTGATGAACTTTGTAGCATGTTCTGATTCTGCTTCTGATTCTAGCCAGAGAGGTGACTGCCAACGGCCTGGGTACTGTTCCCATCGACCCAGCCAGAGCCTCCACTTCTAGCTCCCAATGGACGGGTTACAAGTCCTCTCCGCGTTGTGCCTGATCACCTGCCTTCTTCAACGGACCTCCCCGGCGCCCTCCACCTCCTCCTCCACCCCTGGATTAACCCATGGCATCGTGATAGACGCTGGCAGCTCTGGAAGCAGAGTGCGAGTCTACAGCGTTCAGTACGAGGACTCCTTGCCCCGAGTGGAGGAGATAGGAAATCTTCGAGTGAAGCCGGGTCTTGCTGAATTCGCCACCAGGCTGACGGAGGTGGCCGAATACCTAAATCCGCTGCTTCTCAGGGCGCAAGAACTGGTCCCCCGGGCCCAATGGCCCACAACGCCGATATACCTGATGTCTACAGCCGGTAAGGACGGTTAATTACGCCTCGTTACGGTTTGCTGCTTATATACTTAGTGCGTTACCTGGAAACAATTTAACGTTGAATAACTGTCAGTCAAAACGCATCGTCAACGCAGAATTTGTCTTTTTTTCAACATTGTCAAGGTAAAGCTGCATAGATATACTATACCGCTTTAATACAGTTAACCGACTGCAAGCACTTGCCAACGCAGCTGGTAAGTGTCAATTGATTTCTTAAGCGTTGTGTACTTTATTTTGAATGCCAAATGGTGGATGCTCAATGGATTAAGTCAGTGACCTTTCCCTTATTGATTAACTCTCTCTCTCTCTCTCTCTCTCTCCACTAACCTTAGAATTCAATACACCATGGTCTTTCTCTTTCTCTCTCTGCCCCACCCCCATCTCTCTCTCTCGCTTGTCATCTTTAATTTATATCCAGCCGTTTCTCTCATCTGATGCATACAGTCATTAATAAAAGTGATTGACTTGTTTTTGTTCCGCACGTGTAAGGTATTTGCATAGTTCTATCCTTAATCGGTAAACAACATGTTTGGCATATCTTGGTTTATCAAGCGAATAGAAAGCTCATTTAATTAAGGTAGGGTCTAATTATTAATAACCTATATGTATGAATAAGCTATATTGTGAGCAATATGTATGAAGTAGTTAGCTTACATGTATTTTGGTAATTGAATGATCTAAAGTAGTTATACTTATTTAAGCTTATGTGCACAATTTATTTAAAACTTTAGTTAAGAGAGCTTGTAAAATGTAACTGTACACATTTTAATGCTCAATAAATTATTATTATTATTAAAATCAGAAAAATAGCGACGGTGATGGGATGATATTCTCCGACCACAGGGTGCACCAGGGGTCTGTTGCAAAATTATTGCATTCAGTTTATAAACTATTTTAGAAGTCCCTATAATATCAGAGGGCAAGAGGATGGGGGTGGTATAGTGTTTCTGCTTTCTGCGTTCAGGAAAGTTGTTAAAAGCTTCCACGCACTCTCGCTGCCGCCTTTGATCATATGCGCTGGTGGCCAGTTTGAAGTCTATTTTCAAACACGGTCATGCTGCCCAGATGCCCAACTCGGTATGTTTATATACGTGTTCTGAGGTGGAACAAAAACCTGGGGGCAAGATGGTCAAGTGGCACGCAGTGGTGGATGGAGGGAACGGCACAGAGGCATGTGTGAACCCTTGGCGTCTGAAATACCCCCTTCTCCCCACCCCACCCCCAAAATGTACGCGCGCACCGGTATAACGAGCGAAAGGAAAAACAACTAATTAACGTACTGTTCCATACTATAGTGTCGTACATATTAAAGTAAAAATGGCATCGTCTATTGTTGTATATTCTTAGGGCAAATTGTTGTGCCCCCCCCAGTATTGCCCCCCCCCCCCCAGTACTGCCCCCTGAGTTAACTACACCAGTGACAGAGAAGAGTAGTTAGTCCTTGAACCAACATGTCTGGGACCCAAGGCCAAAAAAAAAAAAAAAAAAGAAAAAAGACAGCTGATTGCTGCCCGCATGTGTGCAAATTAGAGATCTCATTTCTTCCTCCTCGTCAATCTTCTTGGTTTGGACATATTGTTTGACACGGGTGTGTCACTGTTCTATTTAATGAGTACCTTCATCACGTTGCCTTCACACATCGTGTGAGATACTACTTAGAAGCAATACATAGCGTATAAATACCAGTACGCTTTAAGAGCTCTGCTGAGAAATACAATTGCAGCACGGGTTTTTATTCCGTTTCACAAGCTCGCTTCTCACTGTTTTAGTATCTTTTATGTACATTAATTGGCATTGAAAAGCTCGGGATCTTCGTGTAATAGCCATACAGGCTGTTAAAACTTTAGAAAATGGCAATCTCGCAGAGTGTATTTCGGTACAGAAACTATCGCTAGAATATACCGCTCAATGTGAATATGAACCTGAAGTTGTGTAATTGGTATTGCGCCAAATTATCATCTTTTATCTATACTGAGCAAAAGCAAAAATGCTGAACGTCATATATAAATCATGCAAAGTGAATGTTGTTCTTCAACGTGATCCAGATTTCTGTCCGTAGTGTCCGAAGCAACTGCAAGATTTCTATCCGTACTGTTACTTTCCTTAGCTACTGTCTATAGCCTATTACATGTTACATAAATAATTAACATGGGGCGTTCATATTTTCACTCAATGTACGTTATACTACATAGTCTTCATGTAGCAAAAACCATGTGCTGATTTCCTGTGCTATTTCCGCGCCGTTAATAATAAAAGTGGGGAATTCGTTTATCAAAGCTTGTAAGCCCCTATTATACTGTATCAATGATTTATGTGTGTTATTTTCAAAAAATGTTGATAATTATGAAAGTGTTGTACAAAACCAGGTTAAGGCGCGAAAGCTTGTGTCGAAATATTCTCAAAGAAGAGAATATTTTGAATGATGTCTGTCGTGGACAATCGACAGTCATGTAAAAAATATCTGAACTATTTTTCGATATTAATTCGTCCCCTCTAAACAAACATGTGCATCATCAATTTGCACTTGAGATATTAAACAAGTGACGATCATTAGCAAGGTGGATGCATCACAGCGGCAAGCACCAACTTTTTATGAAGTACAGAGTATAATTATCAGCCCCTTCCCCCTCCCTCTCTCTCTTTCCCTCTGTGTGTGTGTGTGTGTGTGTGTGTGCGTGTGGTCATCTTTATTTCTCCCTTAAACATGTAAAGGATTTGAATGTGATAATTCTACAAAGTTTTATTTCCTTATTTCAATCTACTTCTCATTCCAGGTCTAAGGCTTGTTGATGCGGCACAGTCAAGTCAGCTCTTCACTGAAGTCCGCGGCATATTTTCCAACAAGACGGCCTGCCCGTTCCTCTTCCAGCATCGAGACCAGGCACGTGTCCTCTCGGGGGAGGAGGAGGGCGTCTACACGTGGATCACCGTCAACTATCTCAGGGAATACTTCGGCAAAGGAAGGTAAGAAGTGATGGTTGATGAGGATTCGTGAAAATTGGGTACATGTAGGTAGTATTATATGAATATCTCGTATTATTAAAGTACTGTGCAAACAAACAAACAAACAAACAAACAAACAAACAAACAAACAATAAATAAATAAATAAATAAATAAATAAAGTCACTTTTTTCCCTCCTACAGACCATACAGTGACACCCACGGTATTCTAGAGATGGGTGGGGCCTCCACACAGATTGCCTTCATCCCGACCACGCCCATCCTGGCCAACAAATTCTACGTGTCCATGGCGGGCGAGAAGTATCCACTGTACGCCCACAGTTACTTGTACTTCGGGGCCACCTACATGGATATCAGGGTGAAGGCATTCCTGGCCGCTGAATCTCCGGGCTCTACAGAACTGGAGGACCCCTGTATGCTGACAGGTTAGTGGTTTCTGTGTGCAAGGAGTTTTATACTGCAAAACGTGGCAGAAAGGCCGGTAAAGATGTCTATTTTACTGACTTAAATACGGAAATCTTATTACGTAGCCTTAGTAGTGCTTAAATTGACATTTTGTTTCTCTAAACAGTCTTACTGTTAACAGTGAAGCAAACACGGGCGTGCGGAGAGAGAGATTGCGATAGTTGAGACCCAATGGATGTGATGTGATGGATGTCCTGGGGTGAGCAGATTGGATGTTTGCGTTGTTCATAACGTCAAATCTCGCCCTTTTGTGCGGAAAGGGTCCACTCTGAAATGAAATTTGATGTGTTTTCTCAGCCATTTTTCACGCTGGGTCAACCAAGGTCCCTGTTCTTCATAAAAAGAGCCCTCCATTTGAAAATTGATGCTTACAGGTATGGGGAATGGCCTTCTTTTGCATAATTCAATCCCTGTTGGACTTTATGGATTATCTTGAGTCTTTTCTTATTAACGTCTAATCCCCTGATTAAAGGACATTCTCTTTTAATGCATTTTAAACTTTAATTTAAACTTTGACCTTTCTTTTCAAGGCGACGTGAAACATCAACCAGCCCCTAACAGAACGGACACAGATTCTCTTCAGTTCATTGGTACGGGTAACAGCACTGCCTGTGAGGCCATCTTGGAGACGTTCCAGCGCCAAACACCAACAGAATTTTGTTATCCAAAACCATGCGCCATTGGCGACATCTATCAGCCGGTTTTGCCTGAACACATGTTATTTACGGCTGTCTCCGCTTACGTTTATGCACCAGCGGCTTTAGGTGCCTTGGAAGACGATCGGACGCTCACACCGCGGATATTGCGGGAAAAGGCACTGTTGTATATACAAAAAGTAAGGAGAAAAGTTCAAATTTATATTGATATATTCTTGTCTCCCATAAGCCCAATTTGGAGCCTCTGCAACTTTTTTCCTGCCATTCCTGCTACAAGTTTCAATTTGAAAGTAAAGATGAACGATAAAAATCGTTTCAGAAGGCCTGTTGCTTATAGTTATTTTATGCCCTATTTCAAAAAGATTGTGTAATCACATTACTGTATTTCTGCGTTTCGTGATTTGTGGGGAAAAAAACACATGCGTCTAGTTTTATTTCGATATCTTGCACTTTTGAAGAATCTGACAGAAGCCATTGAGCAAATAGGGGAAAGCAGACGACAGTACGCTTCGGCCTACGCCATGATGGGCCTTTACCTCCCCATGTTACTGCAAAGATCGTACGGTTTCCATAGCGACAGCACCCAGGTGATAGCAACCAATGACGTCGACGGAAAAGGAATTGGTGAGTGTTTTCTTTCCTTAGTTTGCGAAGTTAAAGTCACTCGCTAAGCCATTTCCTCCGCGTAGAGAAAGAGGGCTGGGGGAGGGGGGCGGCAAAGGTCAGGGACCAAGATGAAGAGGTAAAGAACGGAATTGTTGCAGTAGGCCATTCCTGTATAGGAAATGTTTTTTTCAAGAGGAGATATCTGGTTTGGAAAAATGTTCTCTTTCACAAATCGTTCAAATGTCACGACGGGGCTTCGGTTTGGATGAGAATGAGAGCCTTATGCTTTGTACCAGCTCAAGCAACTGTCTGCAGTTTTTGATCATTGAATGTTAAATCCGTTACTCCTTGTTTTTTAACACGTTGCGCATCAGCAAATATGGGCCTACTTTTCTAGTTGCTGGTTCTGTAATCTAGCCTGCTTCTTACACTTCAGCATGGACATTGGGGGCACTCCTTTATGAACTTGAATCAGGAATGTTAACCTCCTCACGTCCGACCGGCAATCCAGATCCATGTAATGCATCCGGTAGGACTTCACATCACCTGTCAGCGCTATATACAGCCCTGATGGTAGTGCTGCAAGGCATTTGTTTACAATTCCTGGTCCGTCTCTAGTCTCTTGTAATAATTGGCGACTCCAGCGCATAGGAATAGTTAAGGATAACAAACAGATTTTGTTTTTTTTCGAGGTTAATTTAGTTTGGTAGTCAAGAAAAGCAGAGAAGATTTGTACTTTCCTGTAAGACATCTAAAGTTGATATAGTTTCATTCGTTATCAATATGCGCGTCATGTAAAGGCTGATGTAGGCATGGTTTTACGTTATACCGAATACAGTGACGTCACAATATCACGTGTTTGTAAAACACGAGCTTAATTTTTTAAATTCTCTATAGGTTTGTATAATAATATAGTGTTGAAACCAAGCGTTTTTTTAACACGTTATACAGTTTACTTTGTCCTATGTACATGTACTTCGGCATAATTGAGAAGTTATTGCGTTTGTCTTTCATTTTGTTTACATGTACCTTGATGAAATGATTGGTCGGTATCTATTTACACAGTTGGCGTCTCATATTTTCTGATTAGAGTAGATGACAGCTTAACCTGTGTATATCGATAATTAATGCATTGTAATATAGACACCTCAGATGTTCCATAAATGAGCCTACCTCTAAGAATAACTGCGTAAGATCTGGATTGAAATGATTGATTTATAATTCCCGATATGTTTCATTGTAATTATTGTATTTTTGGCATTCATAGCTAGTAATATTTACATGGAGGAAGCATTAGTAAGTACTGGTAGAACCTTTCACTATGTTAAGTGTTCCTTCTAGAGTAAAAAACGCACATGTTTATTTACTTTTTTATTCTGGTAAAACGTCTCATTTTCTGATTTACTCTAGTATGTTTATGTATTGGAACTCAATTTCCTGTATATGCAATGTCTGTTTTAAAATTGTTATCAACACAGTACATGATATCAAGAATACACTCTTGATGATGTATTGTACAGAAAAATATAATCCTTCTAAACAGACTTCTTAAAAAAAATAAAAGAAGTACTCAGTCCAACATATAAGAACACCTTTTATTCAATAGAAAGCAAAATTGAACAAATGATATCACAGGATTTAGAATCATCAAACCCACGCTTACCCCTGGTTCATGTCAGTCCAAAATAGACCTGTCTGCCAAAATAGGTACGTCTGATGAATCACAAGAATGAAAAAGCAGCCACATGAGTTTGTTCAGCAAAGTTTTCTTAAAAAAAAATAACATGCTAGTTTAGAAATAACCCGTAATGGGGCAGCGAAAAACGTCATCGCGAACATCACTTTTCATCGAACTTACATCGTCTTAACATAATATATCTCTTATTTGGCAAGACGTACCTAATTTGGCAAAATACATACAGTTAGTATTTTGGTTGTATTTTGGCAAGACACAACCATGGCTGTGCTCCTATCTCAATTTACTTAGAAGGACAATAGGCTAATTGACTCCACAATATGTACAGGTTTAGGATTGTCTTGAAGGAATTTCTAAGAACTCAGCATGCAGACAGGTAAGGATATTGACAGGTTCCGCTACAACTGTACCAAAATCTAAGAACGTGTAAATTCATCTCTGAAGAGGGTTCTAAAGTATTGCAAAGTGATCCTCTATACGTAATCTGGTTATAATAGCTAGGCCATTTCCAATCTAAAGTTAGTCTATTTATGAACAAAACCTATAGTATCTTGTACTACATTGGGTGGGAGTGCCTCATCTAAACTTCCTTAGCTCTTTGGGAAATAATATTATATCTCTACCAACAATAGTTCCTGGTGATAGAGCGACTTTGCCAGAGAACTCTGAAAATCGGGGCGATTTTCTAGCGTTGGCGTCGTCTTGTGGCGTTACAATGAAACATAAATGTTGATGACAAAGTGCATTCTGCAGACACAGAAACAGATCACAACCAGCACCAGCACAGATCACAAATAACACGACGCCAACGGTGGGGACTCACAATTAGGCTAAGGAATACCCGCAAAGTTGTGTAGATACAGCAAAATTTTATACATTAAATTCGTTGCCTTAGGAATTATCAAACACAACAGTGTAAATAGGTTTTATTATCGTTCTCTCTGTCAGTCAGTATCCACGTGATCTGGTCACGTGGTTGACAGTGTCACGTGGGTTAATGTCACGTGAGTGAGTGTAGGAGAAGAGAGCAAAATTGCTGCAAGGGTCTGGGAGTTGCCAGCGTCCTGTTCTCACCAGATTCAACTTAAACCAGGAAGTTGTCTACGAAAATGAAACGGACGATCAGCGATTTGAAAAATTAAATTAAATGTGGGCCTCAGCTGTTTTTGGGCTCTCAGCCCTATGCAGGGTTTCAGTCCTAAAGTATATGGGAAACGCAGAAATACGGTATGTGGGTCTTAAGGTGGGGGAGGGGGGGTTACGTATGTATTAAGGATGGATGTCTGGTGTAGCGAGTCATGCTTCTTGTTTAAGTGGAATCTAGTAAGAACACGGCTAACAGGTGTATCAGATCACTTTCAAATATGGCACACAAACAATGGTTGTCACCTCTAAAAAGAAGCCAAGCACCTTGCTTATTAAGACACAGACTACTGAAAATAATAATTACNGAGGAATGGCCTTTTTTTGCATAATTCAATCCCTGTTGGACTTTATGGATTATCTTCTTGAGTCTTTTCTTATAAACGTCTAATCCCCTGATTAGGACATTCTCTTTTAATGCATTTTAAACTTTAATTTGAACCTTGACCTTTCTTTTCAAGGCGACGTAAAACATCAACCAGCCCCTAACAGCACGGACACAGATTCTCTTCAGTTCATTGGTACGGGGAACAGCACTGCTTGTGAGGCCATCTTGGAGACGTTCCAGCGCCAAACACCAGCAGAATTTTGTTATCCAAAACCATGCGCCATTGGCGACATCTATCAGCCGGTTTTGCCTGCACACATGTCATTTACGGCCGTCTCCGCTTACGTTTATGCACCAGCGGCTTTAGGTGCCTTGGAAGACGATCGGACGCTCACACCGCGGATATTGCGGGAAAAGGCACTGTTGTATATACAAAAAGTAAGGAGAAAAGTTCAAATTTATATTGATAAATTTTTGACTCTCCCATAAGCCCAATTTGGAGCCTCTGCTATTTTTTTCCTGCCATTCCTGTTATAAGTTTCAATTTGAAAGTAAAGATGAACGATAAAAATCGTTTCAGAAGGCCTGTTGGTTATAGTTACTTAATGCCCTATTACAAGAAGATTGTGTAATCATATTACTGTATTTCTGAGTTTCGTGATTTGTTGGGAAAAAAAACACATGCGTCTAGTTTTATTTCGATATCTTGCACTTTTGAAGAATCTGACAGAAGCCATTGAGCAAATAGGGGAAAGCAGACGACAGTACGCTTCGGCCTACGCCATGATGGGCCTTTACCTCCCCATGTTACTGCAAAGATCGTACGGTTTCCATAGCGACAGCACCCAGGTGATAGCAACCAATGACGTCGACGGAAAGGGAATCGGTGAGTGTTTTCTTTCCTTAGCTTGCGAAGTTAAAGTCACTTGCTAAGCCATTTCCTCCGCGTAGAGAAAGAGGGCTGGGGGAGGGGGCGGGGCGGCAAAGGTCAGGGACCAAGATGAAGAGGTAAAGAACGGAATTGTTGCAGCAGGCTTTTCCAGTATAGGAAATGTTTTTTTCAAGAGGAGATATCTGGTTTGGAAAAAAATGTTCTCTTTCACAAATCGTTCAAATGCCACGACGGGGCTTTGGTTTGGATGAGAATGAGAGCTTTGTTTTGTACCAGCTCAACCGACTGTCTGCGGTATTATTCGTGAATTAAAAACATTTGAGCAGAACGTTTTTGATCATTGAATGTTAAATCCGTTACTCCTCTCCTTGTTTTTTTAACACGTTGCGCATCAGCAAATATGGGCCTACTTTGCTAGTTGCTGGTTTTGTAATCTGGCCTGCTTCTTACACTTCAGCATGGACATTGGGGGCACTCCTTTATGAACTTGAATCCGGAATGTTATCCGCCTCACGCCCGACTGGCAATCCAGATCCGTGTAATGCATCCGGTAGGACTTCACGTCACCTGTCAGCGCTATATACAGTCTTGATGGTAGTGCTGCAAGGCATTTGTTTACAATTCCTGGTCCATCATTAGTGCCTTGTTATAATTGGCGACTCATAGGAATAGTTAAGGTTAACAGATTTTGTATTTTATGTTAAGGTGTTCTAGGTTAATTTACTTTCGTTGTCAAGAAAAGCAGTCAGGTTTGTACTTTCCTTTAAGACATCTAAACTTGATATAGTTTCGTCGGTTATGAACATGCGAGCATGATAAGGCTTATATAGGCATGGTTTTACATTATACCGAATACAGTGACGTCACCATATCACGTGTTTGTAAAACACGAGCTTAATTATTTGAATTCTGTACAGGTTTGTATAATAATATATTGTTGAAACCAAGAGTCTTAACACGTTATACAGTTCACTTTATCCTATGTACATGAACTTCGGCATAATTGCGTTTGTCGTTCATTTTGTTTACATATACCTTGATAAAATGATTGGTCGGAATCTATTTACGCAGTTGACGTCTCTTAGTTTCTGATAAGAGTAGATGACAGCTAAGCCTGTGTATATCGATAATTAATGCATTGTAATATAGACACCTCAGATGTTCCATAAATGAGCCTACCTCTAAGAATAACTGCGTAAGATCTGGATTGAAATGATTGATTTATAATTCCCGATATGTTTCATTGTAATTATTGTATTTTTGGCATTCATAGCTAGTAATATTTACATGGAGGAAGCGTTAGTAAGTACCGGTAGGACCTTTCACTATGTTAGGTGTTCCTTCTCGAGTAAAAAACGCACATGTTTATTTACTTTTTTATTTTGGTAAAACGTCTCATTTTCTGATTTACTCTAGTATGTTTATGTATTGGAACTCAACTTCCTGTATATGCAATGTTTGTTTTAAAATTGTTATCAACACAGTACATGATATCAAGAATACACTCTTGATGATGTATTGTACAGAAAAATATAATCCTTCTAAACAGGCTGTTGGTTTGTGGTCATCCCGCATATACTAAACATACGCAGGAACGGGTCTTTATTATAAGGATGTTGTGGTTGATTTTGCCTTTGTTGGCTTGTTAGTTGGATACCATAGTCAGGTGTGTCGCGATAAAAGATTGTATAGGGACTCCTCCATCCACCTCAAATAAGTAAATAAAATAAAAGTAAAAGAAGTACTCAGTCCAACATATAAGAACACCTTTTATTCAATAGAAAGCAAAATTGAACAAATGATATCACAGGATTGAGAACCATCAGACCCACGCTTACCCCTGGTTCATGTCAGTCCAAAATAGACCTGTCTGCCAAAACAGGTACGTCTGATGAAACACAAGAATGAAAAAGCAGCCACATATGAGTTTGTTCAGCAAAGTTTTCTTTAAAAAAATAACATGCTAGTTTAGAAATAACCCGTAATGGGGCAGCAAAAAACGTCATCGCGAACATCACTTTTCATCGAACTTACATTATTTGGCAAGACGTACCTAATTTGGCAAAATACATACAGTTAGTATTTTGGTTGTATTTTGGCAAGACACAACCATGGCTGTGCTCCTATCTCAATTTACTTAGAAGGACAATAGGCTAATTGACTCCACAATATGTACAGGTTTAGGATTGTCTTGAAGGAATTTCTAAGAACTCAAGCATGCAGACAGGTAAGGATATTGACAGGTTCCGCTACAACTGTACCAAAATCTAAGAACGTGTAAATTCATCTCTGAAGATGGTTCTAAAGTATTGCAAAGTGGTCCTCTATACGTAATCTGGTTATAATAGCTAGGCCATTTCCAATCTAAAGTTAGTCTATTTATGAACAAAACCTATAGTATCTTGTACTACATTGGGTGGGAGTGCCTCATCTAAACTTCCTTAGCTCTTTGGGAAATAATATTGTATCTCTACCAACAATAGTTCCTGGTGATAGAGCGACTTTGCCATAGAACTCTGAAAATCAGGGCGATTTTCTAGCGTTGGCGTCGTCTTGTGGCGTTACAATGAAACATAAATGTTGATGACAAAGTGCATTCTGCAGACACAGAAACAGATCACAACCAGCACAAATAACCGGACGCCAACGGTGGGGACTCACAATTAGGCTAAGGAATACCCGCAAAGTTGTGTAGATATAGCAAAATTCGTTGCCTTAGGAATTATCAAACACAACAGTGTAAATAGGTTTTATTATCGGTCTCTCTGTCATTCAGTATCCACGTGATCTGGTCATGTGGTTGACAGTGTCACGTGGGTTAATGTCACGTGAGTGAGTGTGGGAGAAGAGAGCAAAATTGCTGCAAGGGTCTGAGAGTTGCCAGCGTCCTGTTCTCACCAGATTCAACTTAAACCAGGAAGTTGTCTACGAAAATGAAACGGACGATCAGCGATTTGAAAAATTAAATTAAATGTGGGCCTCAGCTCTTTTTGGGCTCTCATCCCTATGCAGGGTTTCAGTCCTAAAGTATATGGGAAACGCAGAAATACGGTATGTGGGTCTTAAGGTGGGGGGGGGGGTTACGTATGTATTACGGAAGGATGGATGTCTGGTGTAGCGAGTCATGCTTCTTGTTTAAGTGGAATCTAGTAAGAACACGGCTAACAGGTGTATCAGATCACTTTCAAATATGGCACACAAACAATGGCTGTCACCTCTAAAAAGAAGCCAAGCACCTTGCTTATTAAGACACAGACTACTGAAAATAATAATTAAACATCTACCAAGCAGCAAAAATATTCCAAAAGTACACCCCTAAATTTCAATCAAAATTGCCTTTTTTTTTCTACAAATGCACAAGATACCCTTCAATTCAAAAAGTGGATAAATGTAACTATCCTTGCTTCTCATAGAATACTATCTGACATAGGAGAGTTTTCAACTTGGGAAATTTTAATACTAATTAGACAGTCACTGTGAGCTTTGACATTATACCTTTGATTACTTGGGATCTCTCCCAGCAAAATACTCATGAATTGAAATTGCCACTCCTGCGATTAAATGTAGAGTGCTGATTAACATAGGTTTTCTTAAATACATAAAACTATCCCCCCCCCCAAAAAAAAAAAATAAAGTTGTCATCATATATAACTAGAAATACTATGAAACTATTAAAAAAGGGTCAATATGATTCATGTTCGTACTGTACACAAGCAAAGTATACATGTTTGAATAGTGCATGAAATAATTACAAGAAATTTACAAAAATATGAAGTTAAAAGCAGTCTTCCATTAACTTGAATTCTTATAAAGAATTCCCTGTTTATATTCTACTTTTTTAACCCATCTTCAAAGAAACATTTTTCGCTGTACAAACTAGAATAATCAAATAATGTCTGAACATTATTCATGAAATGTTCTTACATTCAGATTAAACTGACTTCCCTTAATGATACGTTAAACAAATATAAAAAATAAAATCTTCATCATGCACTTCTAAATTGTGTTACATATTTCTTTCTTTGATCAGAGATAAAAAAATTGCACACTTCATTACAGATATGACAACACACTAGTCTACTAGTACTTTCCTATATTTGTGCAGCAAGTATATATATTAATTAATTTCTGTCAGAAATTGGCAATTTATTTAATCAGACTAACAAAAAAAAATCTCTATTTCCAATTCTTGGATAAAGTTTATACCTTTCCAAATAATAAATAATAATGATAAAATAAAAATATCTAGAAGCTCCCTTACTCCACTACTTTTCCTTTTCACTATCAATTGGCTATTTAAGGGCAGGGGGGAGGGGTTAAAATACCTGGAGCAATTAGACCATCCCCTGTGCCCCATCTACGACATTAAATATTACACTAAATGTGTAAGACTCTAACTTGCATTGGTTCAGAGAATCACTTATTGTAGGATGGCCCAATACATATGGTACACAGTCACTTTGAAGGGTATTAAGCAGAAGAAAATGCTGCTGACATCACAAGCTTGCATCAAAATAGCACTTTTTAAAGGCATGGAAGAAAAATTATATTGATCTAACAAGTTGGAATCAAAATTATTCTGATCTAGAAAAGGACTTTGAGTCAAACAAATAACTAGTAAAGATCCAGCAACTTCATAATCTTCAGTCACCAACTGAACTTTAACAGACATTTGAATCAAGAAAATGCTTGTCACATTGAGTGGTACACTTTAAGAGAACGGAATCTTAACAGTCTTGCTATGAAGTAAGGGAGCCATCATGCTCACCACAACCAATATCATCAACTATTGCTCAAAGAATAGGAAGTAAACATATGGATGCAAGTAAAACCCCCTGGTATTATACTGTAGTTACACATTAAGACCTCACTCTCAAAGTGTCCCTGTACATACCACACTGCTAAAGTACTAACACCAGGGATGAGACCAGTCCGCACTGAAAAAGTAGGAAAATTGGCCAGGGGGTCCAGGGTACACAATCACAAGAATGACCTTAATGACCCTGAAAAAGTCAGAATTCCGACAAAAGTTGGAAAAGTCTCATCAGTGAAGTATCTTCCTTGATGTGAAAAGGACCCCAATGCCTAAATGAAAACCACTTTAAAGACCTATCAACTAAATACAGAGCCCCTTCATTAAGTGCTACTCTGATAAGCTGTCATTTCAAGCTACAACAATACAAGCTACTCTGAGGGCCAAAAGTACAAAAAACATCTTAAAAGCTCATGCCATTTCTCTCCCGGGAGAACCCAAGATGACTCTGGTTGCAAATCATGGAATAAATGCTGCCATAACTTTCCACCATGATACTACGCTCCTCCACAGGAATGTTCTCAGCGATGTTTTTCTTGGGTCTGGCCTGGTTGACCGCCTGCACCAACGCTTCCATGAAGTTGTCCACCCTGTAAGTAATCGTCTGCGCCTCCTTGGGATGGTAGCTGATAGGGTGGTCCGTCAGGGTGATGTACGGTAGCTCCTCCTTCCAGGGATTCCAGCGGAGACTGGCGCTGATTTCTTTACCTTTTGTCCACAGTAGCCTCACTCCGCCATGCTGCCTGGGTCTGGAGAGGAGACAAGTACATGGAGTCAAAAGTAACTTGGGTAATTAATATAGGGACTGTTAGAACTGAATGATGTTGAACTCGCTAATGAGCATTACAAGTAACTTTTATTCATTAACAAAATATTTTGTTCTAACCATTCAGAAGGTCACGTGTAAGATAAGTGTACACACTTAACATACTTTACCCTCTGTAAATAAATTTTATTAATATTATTATTATGACTTCATGGGGACTCTTGCTGAATGCAATCAGATTTTCAGACTAACACACATTCTCTTGTATCCCATGTTCTCATATAATCACCAGGTTTACTGTCTTCTACTCAACATCAGGTGTGTTTGTCTGTTGCGCTGAATTGCATTCAGCGAGAGTCCCCATGGAGATGGAGTTCATTAGCTAGGTCGACAGAATCAATTGTGAACAGTCTCCTAGTAAGAGAATTAATATTATTGTAGCTGAATACACTACTCCTGTGTGGACTATATGCAATACATAACAATATGTACCAAATAAACCAACCAGAATGCATGTACAAAGTCAAATGAAAAAACAATATATGAGTGTCATGCATATATCTGTTTAGTAATCAAACTAGCGTATATATCCTCAAATTAATGTCTCTAGTATGAGATAGTTTTTGCTCCGACAAGTAAGAAATATATAGATTTGGGTAACCCCTTTACTGAAAAAAATCAATATCTCAGTAACCACGCAAGCTGAGTGTTAAAAGTGAGGAATTCATTCACTTACAATAAGTACAATAAGCTGCCATGGTATGATACAGTGTAGCACTTAGAATGCCAATATTACCTGCATCTCAATTTGGTCGCGTTCACACCATGATTTTAAAAGGAAAAGACTTAACAGACACTACTGCAATCAGATTCAATTTGGTCATCCTCACATAATGACCTACTAGTACTTAAAAAATGGCCATCTGCAATCAAATGGGTTGGGATGTCTGAGAAATGACAGGAGTTCTTTTGTGATAGTATTTTATGACCTTCTGTCATCAAGCCAAGTCTAAGATAGATCTGATGTGACCGCGACCACAACAGTCCCCCATCCTAGGGTTGCTAATATTGTCTGTGTTCTAAGATGGATCTGATGTGACCGCGACCACAATGTTAACCCATCCTACGGTTGCTAATATTGTCTGTGTTCAAAGATGGATCTGATGTGACCGCGACCACAATGTTAACCCATCCTACGGTTGCTAATATTACAGATGGTTATATCACCAAGATCATTAGGTATGTAGCAGTCACTCCCTTATTACACCTGAGCCCCTAGAAATATGGATTTAAGGCCACTACATGTATTTTATTAATTTTTCTAACAAGTACTCAGTAATTAAACTCACAATTTCTCTTATCTACATTCATCTTACTCATGGGGATTCATATCAACCTTTGTTTCTATGTTTGTTCTATGCATAATAATAACAATTATTAATATGTTAGAAAACTTAATTTTTTTTTACTTTTTTGCTTTTTAGATTTATCAACATATAAATAAATAAATAAGTATAGTATAATTTTTTTTTCTGTTTCATTTACTTACTATCCTTACTATCTTTCCATATGTATAATGTATAGTAGCTAGAGAGCCTCTAAATGTAAAAACATTTCAGTGCTCAATAAATTATTATTAATAATGAAAAATAAATAAAATGAAAAAGAGGCTTACAGAATCTGTATCACCATAATGTTGCAATCAAGACATAGACATCAACTCCAGACTCTATCACACTAATTGTAGATCGATCTATCTCCAACGGGATTCTCGCTAAATTGCCTGTCACGCTGCTCAGGGGTAATTAATCAAAAATATCACTTACGTAGCAGCTTCAGTAGGCATGCCAGACATCTAAGCTGCTTTTAGCTGAAAGCAATTTTGCAAGAAAGCCCTTGGAGATGGATCGGCCCTGTTAGATCAATCTAGGTATGGGAACCCAGTCTTATACATTATGGTGGCTACATGTATTTAGCAGCAGCCAGGGCTGTTTACTCCCCTGAGAGATGAGATCAATTCACAACCAGACAAATCCATAAACTAGACAAGGCTTACATTAACAAGGCTGTCTGATCTTATTGTCACTATTATTATTATATTTTATTAACTTCCCTCTTAATAGCAAGTTACTGAGATAATTATTAATTATGTAAATATCATATTGCAGATTACATTGTAACCTTTTGTGATATGCAGTAAATATTCTATTCATTTATATAATGTGCTATAAAAAATGACAGGGAATGACTTTATATTGTTTACGCAGTACACATGATGAAATTTAGCATGTATACAAAACAATATACAGGGGACTCCATCTTTTCAAAGGAGAAAATAAATCTTTCAAATATATAATTTCAGAATTTCATTAAAAATATTTCCCCATAGCTACTGTGAGTGCTTTTACTGTACAGAGCAGAATGGTCTGATAGACTACTTTGTAATTTAGTTGCTACAATTAACAANACAGACACTACTGCAATCAGATTCAATTTGGTCATCCTCACATAATGACCTACTAGTACTTAAAAAATGGCCATCTGCAATCAAATGGGTTGGGATGTCTGAGAAATGACAGGAGTTCTTTTGTGATAGTATTTTATGACCTTCTGTCATCAAGCCAAGTCTAAGATAGATCTGATGTGACCGCGACCACAACAGTCCCCCATCCTAGGGTTGCTAATATTGTCTGTGTTCTAAGATGGATCTGATGTGACCGCGACCACAATGTTAACCCATCCTACGGTTGCTAATATTGTCTGTGTTCAAAGATGGATCTGATGTGACCGCGACCACAATGTTAACCCATCCTACGGTTGCTAATATTACAGATGGTTATATCACCAAGATCATTAGGTATGTAGCAGTCACTCCCTTATTACACCTGAGCCCCTAGAAATATGGATTTAAGGCCACTACATGTATTTTATTAATTTTTCTAACAAGTACTCAGTAATTAAACTCACAATTTCTCTTATCTACATTCATCTTACTCATGGGGATTCATATCAACCTTTGTTTCTATGTTTGTTCTATGCATAATAATAACAATTATTAATATGTTAGAAAACTTAATTTTTTTTTACTTTTTTGCTTTTTAGATTTATCAACATATAAATAAATAAATAAGTATAGTATAATTTTTTTTTTCTGTTTCATTTACTTACTATCCTTACTATCTTTCCATATGTATAATGTATAGTAGCTAGAGAGCCTCTAAATGTAAAAACATTTCAGTGCTCAATAAATTATTATTAATAATGAAAAATAAATAAAATGAAAAAGAGGCTTACAGAATCTGTATCACCATAATGTTGCAATCAAGACATAGACATCAACTCCAGACTCTATCACACTAATTGTAGATCGATCTATCTCCAACGGGATTCTCGCTAAATTGCCTGTCACGCTGCTCAGGGGTAATTAATCAAAAATATCACTTACGTAGCAGCTTCAGTAGGCATGCCAGACATCTAAGCTGCTTTTAGCTGAAAGCAATTTTGCAAGAAAGCCCTTGGAGATGGATCGGCCCTGTTAGATCAATCTAGGTATGGGAACCCAGTCTTATACATTATGGTGGCTACATGTATTTAGCAGCAGCCAGGGCTGTTTACTCCCCTGAGAGATGAGATCAATTCACAACCAGACAAATCCATAAACTAGACAAGGCTTACATTAACAAGGCTGTCTGATCTTATTGTCACTATTATTATTATATTTTATTAACTTCCCTCTTAATAGCAAGTTACTGAGATAATTATTAATTATGTAAATATCATATTGCAGATTACATTGTAACCTTTTGTGATATGCAGTAAATATTCTATTCATTTATATAATGTGCTATAAAAAATGACAGGGAATGACTTTATATTGTTTACGCAGTACACATGATGAAATTTAGCATGTATACAAAACAATATACAGGGGACTCCATCTTTTCAAAGGAGAAAATAAATCTTTCAAATATATAATTTCAGAATTTCATTAAAAATATTTCCCCATAGCTACTGTGAGTGCTTTTACTGTACAGAGCAGAATGGTCTGATAGACTACTTTGTAATTTAGTTGCTACAATTAACAACAGCAGAGGCGGATGGAGGCTGTCTTCTGAGTCTTCCCAAAGACAGTCAAAATTTTAAGTTTACATTGAAGGGCATTAATTTTTTCTATTGAGGCGGTCAAAAATGGAGGATGGATCAACTGGGATAATTTGTAAGACTGTCAGAAAATATCTCTGGGTCTGCACCTGAATAGGAATGTTCTAATTTTAAGAATTTATGACTTAAAAAACAAAAAAGATTACAGTATCTGAAAAAAAATCACAATTTTCCCCAAATGAAAACAATGAGTGATTATCATATAATTAAGCACCACAGGTGTTATAACCACCAATACTCACGGCATAATAGACTTGTCTGGGTACACTATCTCTCCCACCTCTATGGTATCCAGCAGGTGCAGCATCACCCGGCGAAACCTCAACATCTTGATGGCTACAAAGTCATACTTTATGATCAACAAGGAGTTTTCTGTGAGGAGAACCATTTTTTCTTTCTCTGCGTCCCAGTGGTCGATTCTGAAAGAAAGGATGTGAGAGGTCAACCCCAGGTTAATCTGTGTATTGTACGATTTTAAATAAATAAAATGAATAAATAATTTGGTATATAATTTTAATGTTCATTTAGGAAAACGTATTATTTGATTCAAGCACTTTTTTTTACAAAGGCTGTAATATTCCTTAAAGTAAGAAATCTTCCTAAGCCTAAAGGTATAGGGTCCTACAGGTTGACTCCTATAGGAAATCTGATAATTTCCTGTAGAGTCCTGTAGGATTAATATTCCTATAGAGCCCCAGATACCTACACGACATCCACATGGATATCTTTGTAACATGCTAAACCCACACAGTAAAAGGAAGAATATACAGTACATGTACAGTATATAAATCATAAGGATATGACGACTATAAAGCACCTGCTAGTACATACAACCCATTTATTGACATTATCATATTCATAGATGTTTCAACTTTGTTGACTTTGCTAATCTGTTTAACTAATTAATCTGCTTGAGTATGTGAGGCCTTTTCATAACTGAAAAGGTAAACAAAGGTGATTGAAGGAGGGGGAGGGTACTAAAACTGGCAACCCTGCCCTTTTTCACACCCCATTTAACCTATCTTTATTTACCTATTCACCGATTTGTTTTAATTTCACAAATAAACAGTATTTTAAAAATATACACTTTATATGCAGGGGTTTCCTCAGTATTTGGAGTACAAGGAGTACAAAATATGAATCTATAATCCAGTCGTCGATATACAGGGAGTTCAACCTAAGCAAGCACCTATCAACCCAAAATTTTTGAAAGGTGTCCATTAATATATGACGGCTAGACGACTCTCTGGGGAAAGCATTCTTCACACACACACACACATCATGTGAAACACAGACAGGCAAATCAATCAGAAAAATGAATTATTAAAATCTCTTACTCCGTAAGCAGCCATGCCCCTCTCAGCTGACCGTCCAGGTCTTCACTGACCACTGACTCCTTACAGGCCTCCACGGCGTTCTCAAAGGACCCGTCCTGAAATAAACAAATAGAAACAAGCTATATTTGTTTGCTGATTGTGTAATACATGCCTGGTAAGACTGGGGCTGATTTGGAACGGTTATCAGTCCAGCTTCCACTACTATAGCTGTGCAGTATACAGTATATATATATTAGGTGAAAGATTGTCTGAATGCAAAATTGAGTCAATTTTTTTTTTTTTTTTTTACAATTCACACAATGAGTATAGGTGGAAGGGTCTTTATATTTATTTATTTATTTATTTATTCTGCAAATTTGTTAAGTTACTGCATGACCACTGTTGGTTGTTAATAATTCTATATTCCTTCAGACTTAGTGCTTGAGTAATGGCCCATGGCAAGGCTACTTTTTTCAGCGACTTTGATATCGTTATGACAATTTTCAAGACTAAAACATTTTGGAAATGAAACTTGAGTAAAAAGCACCTACCCTGTAGCAGAAGTAAGACTTCAGGGAATAATCCGTCATAATGAAATTTGGTCTTCGACCGCTTCCACTTCCGACGCTCATACTGCGATTCATTTTCCCTTGACTTAAACTAGGTCCTTTAAAGTCGACACTCGGGACGTTTTCCCTTGTTTCCGGACCATGAATTTCTAGTCTGGCACCGTCAAATTCCGGCCCTTGATTCGGCCTGTCGTCGTTAACTTGTGCCTCCATCATATTTTTGTCAAATTCGTACGAGATCCCTGGAACTGAACTTTGTTGACATCAAATATGGAAAATGACGTCAAGGTCACAAGATTGATTCATAGGTGGCGCGCATAATCAAGACAAGAAAATGTGCGTAATCAAGACATTTATTCAGATCATAGAAGTAGAGAAAATGGAATGCCAACTCCCGCGAGATTTGTATTGCCCTCTGTGTTATGAGCTTGTGACCACGATCTCCAATGTACTCATTCTAATTCATCACCTTCATGTATAGATTGCCATCATACATTCCTTATATAACTTATTATAAAGTAACTTATTGATATTATGCTACATGTAAACATTGAAATCATGTATATTTATATTTATTTATATACCTGTTTGTACTGTTGTAGTTAGATGTAATTGTCTTTGTCTTTGATTGTACCTTATTTGTAAAGGTGTATCAATAAAGAATCCACGAGAGTTCGGCGAGAGTTGGGTAGTTTTACTTCCGGTCAACTTTCGTTGCACTAAATGTGAATGGGGAGCAGGCGTGCTAAGACAATTGAGCGTCATTTTGACAGATTTTTGGTTCAATTTGATTAATAATGGCCTCGAAGTTGACATTATTGGAGGTAAGTCTGTCTCTTAGCTTGATTAAACGAAGCTGGATTGCAGCATGTGGATAAAATCGACGATAATCGAGCGATCTCACACAAAGCACGTGGACAGCCGGCAGAGTTTTACTTTCCCTGTCGTGATCAAGTAATGATATATCTGTACAGCAATGGAATATTAGTCCGAACTAGCCGTGAACTGTAGTTTGACTGCACATCATACTTGAAAAAAGTCGGAATAAAATTCTGTCCCTTAACTAGGGAATTTGATATTTAATGCTTTTGTTTACAACTAAATACAAGGCTGCTAGCAATTTTCCTGCCAAGGAATTGAAGGAAAAGGCGACCCAATAATTTTTTCTACCGATATTAAATCAACTCACAAAGTTCAATCCTACTCACACTATTATCGTTAAACTTTTAAATTTTTTGAAAGTTATTTTTTTTCAAAATTTTAAGTAAAATTTCTGCCTACAGGCTGATCTTGAAGAGATATTCAGTGAGCTGCAACTTGCATTACAGAGCACCACGCAACCAGTAGCACCACCCTGGTATGTTTAAAAAATAAAAATAATTATCTTTCTGTTTTTTTTTTGTTTTTTTTTTTTTGAAAAAATATTTTATATTCAAACAATGTATAGTTACATGGAAATTGATAAAATCCTTTTCATTTGATATTATGTATTTACATTAATAATGAAACATGATACAAATACAAAAATAATTTGACAGTGCTTTGTAAATTTTGCTACTTCAGGTGACTCAAATATCACATTTAGTGGAGCAATCCTTGGAAAAGCTGCATCCAGCATTTTATTGACATACAGTTGTTTAGAAATGCAAAAGGACACTTCAAAAGGTACATTGTTATAGAATATATATTTATTTCAGTATTTCAAGGCTTTTGTCAAATTACAAAGTACCAATTATGTATCAGTTATAGTAGCAATGACAGCTGTTACTGCATACATAATAACAATAATAGCAAATGAATTTTACTGTGACCTACATATAAAAGTTTTATCTTTCTATGGAAATGTTTTCGTTTCTACTTACTCAATCATCAATATATGAAAAGAACAATGAAATTTAGAGAAATCAGATACAAGTACATAAAGCATATTCAGCTGGACATTTAAAAAATACAATGATAGATTTCAGTTAGAGGTATTTTGCAATTGTTTAATACATTTTTAAACATGTTAGTCTTTCAGTCTTATGTTCAAGGAATCTAAAAAATAAATTATTACCTGCGCCTTAATTATACCACACACTTCCAAAACTATATAAAAACGTTTTTGCCTGTTGTCCATGTAATACGTCATGCCTGATCTAACTTCAAGAGAATTTTATAGTTTGCTATATTCTCCTCAGTTTATTCCAAATTTTAAATTTTATTATTATTTTTTAAATTTATTTTATTTATTATTATTATTTATTTTTTACTCTTAGCTGCAAAGCATGGGTTATCTGATGCGATCACCTACAGTAGGATAGCTATTTCGGAAGTGCTTGATTTTACACCTTATATTTTCCTTCAAAATAATATCAGCATTGGTTCACAAATTTGAAGCCCCATACATCTGACCCATAGAATATTATTGCTGCAATCATTTAATAGGTGTAAATGCAAGATGGGGTTGAACTTTATCACAATAGTGTTTCAACTTGTTTATAATAATGGTAACTTAACCTTGCCTATACATACTCAATTTATTTACAGCTCTTGCTCATGTTATGCTATGGGTTATTCTATAATACACATTTAAATGCTGATGTTTCATATAGTCATAGTTAAAAATAAAGATGTAGTATTGAAACTGATTTCTCAGACAGAATTAGTTGTACTCTGCCATTAGAAGTTTAAAAATTTGCATGACTAACACACAGTTCTAATTTAGTTTCAGATATCTGCAAACTTTTTGGACAATGCATATCTCCCTGTTTGGTACAGAAGTCCAAGGTCCCCAGGTTGAACAGAGAGCTCAGAGGCATCCCAGTCAGCTTTTTTCGCTGCTACAACCAGAATGACAGACATTATAGCAGTCACAGAAGATGACCAACTCTGTCTGGTTGACACTTGAGATCTTCAGTAAAGTCCTGGTTGTACATTTCATCAGCCCTAATAGTGCATGGTGGTTTTTGTAGTCAGCAAACTGAAACATATGTAGAGGAAGTGATAAGCATGAAGAACTGAGTCAACCCAGAGATAACAGTACACAGCCAGAAGCAGTCACTGCAGACTGCCAAGTCACAAGGCAGACTTGAATCTATCACTACAAATGCAAAGTCTATATTGATGAAAAGGAAACAATTTTAGGAAAACCTTTCCTATACAGATGCATTTTTACAATGCTGTAATTCTGTTATTTCAGAGTGCCATTTTAGTTCTACATAACATGCTAAATGTACAAGTTCTGCCCTTATTATACACATTTCTTTATTCATAAACTTCTATTTTAAATAGTAAATATGTAACTGCAATCAGTTTCACCATACATGCGTGCACTGCTAAATGTCTGATGTAAAAAAAAAAAATTAAGCTATGAAACTAAGACATAAGCCCAAATTTGTTCAGCAAACAGCAATGTTGAATTTAAGTTGTAATAAGGAGGTGAAAGGGATGTTAATTCAATTCAAACAGCTTCAATAAACTTTGATGAGATATTATTCATCCCTCAATTATACAGCCTGAATGTACATTTAATGAAACAGTGCTTCAAAACACCTGGAACAGACCTTGACTTTCTCTGGATTGAAGATGTTGTCACATCTGTTGATGCAATGGATCAGCTGACTTCTCCATTTGTCTGAAACCTCAGACACTCCTGTGGATATGAAAAGATACATGTACCACCTTAATTCTTGTACTCGCCTTAGAAATGGGAGTTTCTTTGTGGAATCAAAAGCTGGCATATGAAGGTGTAAAATATTGAACATTATGAGATTTAATAAATTGTCGTTTTATATATAATTATTGTGAAAGAAGAAAGTTATTCAACTGTGAAAAGGTGCAAAAGAGATAATAATAAAATGGTTTGCTTGATTATTATTTTGTGTTGCTTCAATTTTACCTTAGGCAAGCTGTGGAAAGAAAGACCCTTGCACTTCTGTGAAGAGGCACTGCATAGAATAACACAACAGAACTCCTTCTTGACACCCTTGAAAAGAACAGAATAAAAATTTACATTTCTAATAAATTATTATTATTATTAGTCCTACATAGTCAGGTATATCTTAATTATATGTTGAAGCTATATCACCAGGAGTAATAACCAGCTATAACTGATCTAGTTTAGTGTTGCAATGATCCTCTGGTGGTATGGCACAACTCCAAGTATGACTTTGATATTTCCATTTTTTCTTATTAAACATGTTCGTATTTTGCTTGTACAAATGCATAAAATGAAAAGGGGATAACTAAATATGTAATATTTATATGTATAAATATTCTGTGCTTTTATTAACAGCTTGGATAACGACATTTAGTTCACAGATTTCTCGAAGACCGTACATGAACACTTGAGGGATAAACGGAAAACAATCGGCGTCAGACGACCATTGTATTCAAAGACAGATCATATCATGAATGAGCCTCTCACTCCTTAAATTTACGCTTAAAAAACACAATATTGTATTAAAATACAAAAGTTATTACTTACATTGCTAAATTATATTCCGTGTTATCTTCGACTTCGGTAATACACTCTGTCACACGCACCAAATAAAGCGCTTTGGGTTTTAATGATTCCGTTTTCACACCATAAAAACTGCAGTTAGAATGTCCAGACTCCCGTTTACGCCATAGCAAATCACATTATCGTAAAAACTAGCTCTAGTCGCTGTGAATAGTAGTTATTGAAACATGTAGAGCGTGAGTTGAATGCAGCTGCATGGAAACCGGAAGTGAAACTCCCCAACTCTCGCCCAACTCTCGGGGTCACAAGCTCGGCCTGCGAGATTTGAAGTTGGCATTCCATTTTCTCTACTTCTATGTTCAGATCAACCTGTCATCAAATAGTATTTACCAATTTTATTTACATTTATGTTATAGAAAGGATAAGATTTTGAGAAATTTTGCTGATATGATGTGGCACATGAAAATTGTGTGAAATTGTGTAAACGACGCCATCTAGGTTTAAAACGAATCAAAACTAAAGTGAAAGTGTGCACCCGCCCTCTTACCTGGAAGGAAGAAAATACCTGAGCTTGCGAACTTCATCACGCCTTCGGGTTTTCAAACACATTGGGAGAACATACATTTCAACTAAAAATACCATTTTAAGGAAATTTACCGGGATAAAAAATCGTCTGTTATTTATTATTAATTACTAATTAAATCAATAATTTTTTAAAAACGAAACGAAAACAAAACGAAATTATCGAAATTTTTTTATGAAGTTAAGAAAGAAAGCATTTTTCAGTTCCACCTTCCGTGTTCCCGCTATAAACATATACAGGCTTCTTGTACTGCATTTTATATTATCACGTGTTCGGGAATCAGCTAGAACTTTCCGCTAAAATTCAGCATATCAATTTTAAACAAAACTTTGGTTTACAGTCGCCCAAACAAGATTGGTTAAATCAGTATTCAACTCCATTAAAATATCCTGCTAATGAAAAAGTTTAATTCAAATTACGTTCATTTTGTCGTACATGTATTTGTAAGGGGCGAGGGGGGGGGGGGGGCGAGGAGGATAGGATCGAGATGCCCAGACGCTTATGCAATGTTAAGTATTGATTTGCATAAAGTGAGTAAAACGATGGGAGTGTTTGTAAACATGGGAAGAGATTGATTGGTGTGTGAATTCACTGTGGATGATACACTGTACATAAAACAGCAGCATGTTATACATGTATTAAAACCTAGGAGACTGACAACAGTAGAGACAGAAAATAGAGAAGAGAACGGATAGAGGAGAATGAAGAAATAGAGAATAAATAGAATGTAAAATCAAAAAGTATTTGTGGTTTTACATAACGTATATATAAGGATGAAAATCATTACCACCCTCATCATTAATTGTTTATCGAAACTTCCCTCGAAAATGAACAAATGATGCAGTTTTGGCAGATCAAAATAATATCTACGCTTTTTTGTATTCCGTGCTGAAAATATAAATATATGGGCGGGCGTTTGACGTGTGAGCTGTCTCTTGCGTATTTTCGTAACTTTTTACTACTTTATCTCTAATTGCCTTGGGGTCCAAGAAAATCTCAAATATGGCTACACTGTGAATAACTTATAGGCCTAAGCGTGTTTCAGTCTTGAATTCTTGGACGTTTTCAGCCCTGCTCGGTCAGAAGGTCTTGCAGGAATTTTTAATTATCCGATCGGACATGTAGTACTAGAGGTACTGTTTTTGCAGATTTGGTCGTCATTTACTGACAACGTGGAGTAGTACACGACCACCTTAAGCTATAGAGAGGGGGCGGGGCCGACACACAGGTGCGTCATGATTGACAGTGCCATTGAAAAACACGTCTCTGGAAATTCTGTTAACAGTTTCCCCGTCAGTTTGAAGACGTCTGGAAAGAAAATCTTTTTAAGGTCTGTGTTCGTGCAGGCGATCATGTTGTTTTTCATTTCGATATCAATGGCAAGAAAGAGTATGGTTAAAATGATGTTTTATATATATATTTATGCCCTGGCTAGCTATAATACCCTGACTACATGGCTTTATTCTAAGCACGCGCGGGCACGGTGTGACACAGGGGTACACGTGTGCATATTTCTTCTAACTTACGTAAGAAAAACCAGTGAATGAAGTCTTAAACACTACTATCAATACCGAAGGCAAGGAAAAAAAACTCATAAGGTGAACCAACCTTTTGTCGCCAGTGTATAAACAACTACCCTAACCACAAAAAAGAAGACCCCCCCCCCCCCCTCGCCAGGCTTTTGATATCCCAGATCTGTCAGTGTATGCTACAATGGGGGGAACACAGAAGAGAATACAGCCAGTACAGTACGTACCCCCACCACACTCCTGGAAATGTTCTATGCTGCCGTTCAGGCCGTTAACAAAGCGAAGAAAAGTGCCGAGGTTTTCTATCCCAACTGAGAAATACCCCGTAGGGCATGCGCAGACGTTTCATAAGAATTAATCTAGTCCTATTTCCAAGGAGAAAACGCCGTGTCTGCCTCAGGCAACTTACAAGCTTTTTACCTCGTAATGAATCGCGACTGCGTGATTAAAAATTTGAGAATTTGAGAATAACCATTGCAGGCGTTATCCGTATGTGTTTGAGGAGTCGTCAGTTGTTATCTAAAAATCATCGACTTGTAATTCTATATGTAGAAACGCAAATCCAATAAATCGAAGTCAGAACACAGTAAGTGACATACGCAGAGGCACAGGGGAGGCATTTGTGAATTCCTCTTCTCATGGCCGCAACTAATTTGCCTTCTTTCCTGCGTCATTTTGTCAAAATAAAAGGAAAGGGTTCCGCGCTGAAATTGTATTAGTTGCATGCGAAAAAGATATTTTTCGATGAAAATTCCACACGTTTCCTAACTGTCCGTCCTCTAGATTTATTTAAGCGATGAAAGTATATCTTGACAATTTGTCATGGAATGGAAAGGTCTCAAGGGATAAATGATCCTTAATCGTATTAATTATACACAGTATTTTGATATATGTATGTTGTATGGGAAGACTCAATTTTCTTAAGACATGGTCATCCATTTCACTATATTTGCTGTTGTTCTGTGCGTTTCATCAAAGCAGTTTTTGCCTTGTTAAACGACACAATATACAAAACCCGACAGTGCAGCAACAATAAACAAGTCTTCGGGCCAAAGACTACATGTAACATGTAAAGGCCCCTTTCACATCATGTAGTACACTAAACAAGATCCTTCCCTTCCTTCCCCTCCTTCCATCTCTCTCTCTCTCCTTCTCTCTCTCCCTCTCTCTCTCTCCATCCTTCTCTCTTTCTCTTTTGAGTCTCCCTCCCTCCCCTT